CGTTTAAACTGAGCTTTGTTAATAGCTGGTCTAAGAAGATGTGCCTGAGGCCAAAACAAAGATTCAAACTGGGGGAGGGGAGCTGACAGAGGAAAATCCCAACTATATAATGCTTAGAAACACCAAATAGACAAAAAGAGGCCACTAAATATTATAAACATGTCTTTCTTTTGCTGTTGAACATGGAAGGAATCAAGGACTCCACTATTAATCATATTAAACTCACTGTTCTTTCCATACTGCTATAGGCAATGCTCCTACAGATTCCCTCCTCAGTTCCCTAAAATCATAGAAATGGGGAATCACCATCTTTGGGGAAAGCCAGCTGTTGCCCACTTATCTTCAAAACACTACAGAATAAGTTTGTGCACCAATTAAATTTAAGGTTACTTATAGGTTACCTAATATTGGTGTAAATTAAATTTAACATTCTTTTGTAGTTGAGATTATTTAGATTATCAAGAGGTAAACATATCCTTTGTCAAAGCCGTAACATATTTTACTTGCAACTGCAACCAATCTGAAGCTATACTGAAAGGGCAAAAACAGATGTAAGTTAATAATCACATGAAAACTTAGTATTATATAGAAAGGTATCACTTTTTTGAAACTAAATGTAACTCAGTAAAAAGGTAGGGTTTTTTTTAAATATTTATACTTAGTCCATTAAGGATATTGTGATGAAAACATTCTTAAATGCCATCATCTTTTTGACAAGGGGAGCAGGAATTATGTCAAATTACAGCATACTCATGTCTAGTAAAGTAAGGAGAGGGTCAAAAAAACTGAAATATATTACCACTTATCCTACGGTATATACTATATAAAGGATCAAACTGATTTATAATAGTTTACTCTACTTAGTCATTTAGTAAATTATAATAAACATTTCCTATCCGAAGTCAACCTGAAAATTTAACTGAAGTAGTAAAAACAGAAGCCTTGGTTTCAGAAAACCTTGGTTTGGGAAGCCCAGCTTCTTAAAGTTACGTTGTGTGAGACATTTAATTCTACTAAATATTTGCTGTGTACCTATTAAATGCCAGATGCTGCAGTGGCACTCAGAAGTTATACGCAAAATATGGTTCTTGCCATTAAATAGGAAGCAGGTATAAATAGCCACTGTAGTTCCCGAAATGAAAACTGTGTTCTTTTGTAAGCATTTGCTGAGCATGTACATGCTAACACTGTACCAGACACCAGAGATACAAGAACCAGAAGTTGAAGACAGAGTCCAACAATAATATTAAAGGAGAGAAGAGAGAAGAACTGCCCTGCCTTTTTCATAGGATTCCAGTGGTAACTTTACTGTAAAGCACTATTTAAATGTGAATGCAAGACAAATCCAAAACCATTTACCTCAACAACAAAAAGGAGAGAGAGAATTATTGATAATATTTCAATGTACAGGTAATTTCTGAAATTATTTTCCATAGTTATCATAACCAAAATGTCATTTAAATTTCTTTATAATAAAAGGCAAAGACAAAGAAGAAAATAACTCTTGGAAAAATGTTAGCCAATTGCATAAAAATTACATGAGCATAGAAAACATTAATGGGGTGTATATATAACAAACGGCAGCTGAAAATGAAAGCTATTTTTAACTCAACATATTCAGGAAATATGCTTACACAACGACACTATCCACTGATGAACAATGGCAGTAAATATAACCATTCTGCATTTTTAAAATTACCTTGAGATTAAGGAGAAAACTAAAAAATCCGGTTGGCAAGCCAGTTTATTAACAGGCCTCACATCTTTGGCTGAGTTGTAGTTAGTAATGACATGTAGTTGTGGTTACTAAAACAGGCATGCAAGCAAACCGCTTGCCGGTGCTTGTTCAGGTTTCTCTCCCCCCTCTCTTGGAAAAACTGCATGCAGTGCTG